AGAAGACAATGACCGCTCATACTGTTTGGTGCTCTTGTTTCAGTTCATGCCGGGTGCCAGCAGTCTGACCACCATTGCTTTTACAGCATTAGTGCAAATGTCAACATGGTGAGGCAAAGAAATCTTAGAATTATTATGAAAATAACTTTTAGGTGGAGGTGAGAGAATTGCCTGAGCCCAGGGGTTTGAGACCAGCCTGGGCCACTTGGCAAGACCTTGTCTCCACAATAAAGAAAAATTAGCCGGGTGTGGTGGTACACACCTGTAGTTCCAGCTACTTGGAAGGCTAAGGCGGAAGGATTGCCTGAGTCCAGCAGGTCAAGGCTGCAGTGTCTGTGGGTGTGCCAATGCACTCCAGCCTGGGCGACAGAGTGAGGCTCCAACTCAAAAAAATAGTAAATAAATAAAGATTACAGCATGTAGAGCGTCCCTGGCTGTGGCTCTTGGAGAGCTTCCGTTCTAGTGGGAGATCCTCAGGTTTGGGTTACCCCGCACGTCACCATCCTCCTCTGCCGCGAAATTTCTGAAGGCTATCCTTTAAACAATCAAAACAGAAGAAACACTTACAATGCTTCCAAACAAGTTCTTTAGTACCTCTGGATCGGCCTTAGCAAAGCCCTGTCTGGTGCTGTTAAAGGACAGTCTCCAAGCTGAGCGTTTTGTCCTCGGGACTGGGTGCGGCTGCCCGCGTTTAGCCACCAGTGAGTGCGTCGAGCTGCTGACGCCTGTTGGAAGGTCCTTCCCCACTCAGACCCACTGAATCAGACTCGTGAGTGGGCGGCTAGGGGGTGGGCCTTTGGTGGCTTCTCACAGATTCTTCAGGTAGCCACCATAGTAAGCACTGGCTCCCACCAAAAAGCGGGAAGACACAGAGATAGCTTGCAGGAACACACACTCCCTAAAAACAGCACGTTCCTGAGGGGTGGCTGGGCAGCTGCCCCGGAGCCTGCAGAGCTAGCTGAGTGGCAGCCAAGAGCAAGGCTTGATGTTGACATGCTCAGAATCAGCCCGGGGTGTCACAGCAGCTGCCCAGCAGCTCCCCTTCCCCTGCAACTTCCTTCCAGGCTGGGCTTCTGCCTTAATGTTCTTGGTAGCCTGGCCTGCGCGCTCTCTGTTTTTCTCCCAATGCCTCGTCCTACCTGTGTTTCCCAGCATGTGGTACTTCTCCTGTTTGGAACTCAACACCCTCCCCTCCCTGCAGTATACTTGAAAACAGGAAGCCATCAAAAGAGCAGAATGGGCAGAGCAGATGTTACCAGGCCTGCACACTGAGTCCCAAGGAAAGCACCCAAGCCCCTTGCTTTTGTCTTCTCTTACACCTTTAAGATAGAATTACGGTTTCTTTTTTTTTTTTGAGTTGGAGTCTCACTCTGTCACCCAGGCCAGAGTGCAGTGGCACGCTTACAGCCACCGCAGCCTCGACCTGCTGGGCTCAGGTGATCCTTCCGCCTCAGCCTTCCAAGTAGCTGGAACTTCAGGCACATGCCACCACGCCTGGCTAATTTTTTTATTTATTGTAGAGACAAGGTCTCGCCAAGCTGCCCAGGCCGGTCTCAAACCCCCGGGCTCAGGCAGTCCTCTTGCCTTGGCCTCCGAAAGTGCTGGGATGACAGGCTGAGCCACGCCCCACCGAGTTACAATTTCTAAGGCCTGCAGCCAGTCAGGAGTAGGGAAGGGAACTGTTCCTGGCAGGCACCCTGAGAGCTGGAGAAGTGACTGTGGATCCCAGCATAGCAAGGCAAGGGGCGGGCAAGCTGTAAGGAATGATACAGGAGCGGAGGACTCAGGACAGCGGAAGCCCCGTTAGGGTCAAGCAGACGCTTCTTCCCCTCGGAGCAGTAGGTCATTTTGCCATCCTTAGCTTATTCCGGAGTAGCGACGGCCCAGCCCACCGAGAAAATGTCAGAGTTTGCTCAGCTGAGAGAGGCATAGTAATACTGTTTTTTAAATTTTGAGCGTTCCAAATGGTTGAGGTTTTTGTGCTTAAAGAAGTGAATTTGCCAGTGCGGTAACTTACGCCTATAATCCCAGCACTTTGGGAGGGGGATGGGAGAGGATTGCCTGAGTCCAGGGGTTCAAGACCAACCTGGGCAACTTGGTGAGACCTCGTCTCTACAATAAATCAAGAAAAAAAAAATTAGCCAGGTGTGGTGGCGCATGCCTGTGGTTCCAGCTATTTGGAAGGCTGAGGCGGAAGGATCACCTGAGCCCAGCAGGTCAACGCTGCAGCAACCATGAGCGTGCCACTGCACTCCAGCCTGGACAACAGAGTGAGACTCCGACTCCAAAAAAAAAGTGAACTTTTAGCAAAGGTGAGCTTTTAGCTTTCTAGAATTTATATTTATGAGTTCTCTAGATAATTAGAATATATCCTATTATATTGGGATTTTTTCCGTTTTTACCCCTATTCATAGAAAAATAAAAAGCAGAAGATTTAGGGCACTGGCTCTTAGTCTACATAATTTCTAGTTCATGGCTCTGGTTCTTAGCAATACTTGCTGCTATCCTAGTGTTCTGTTTCTGCCATGTTTCTGCCATTGTGAAATGTATGCAACTTGATCCTGTTTCTTTGATCGTTCATTTGACTGAAAGGGTCATAGATCCCTCCTCCCCCTTGAGCTAGTAATTCTGTATCATGCCATCTAAGCCAGCTAGAAGATGGACTATCACATGCCACTTCCTCCCCCATGATATGCTCCATAAATGGAATACCTGGCTTATAGAGGCATTTCATGAACATTTGATGAGTGAATGAATGGTGAACCAGTAATCTCCAAGATATGTATAGAATTAACTACAGTTGACCCTTGAACAACACAGGTGTTAGGGGTGCTGACTCCCACACTGTCAAAGTCTGCAGATAACTTTTGACTCGTCAAGACTTAGTTACTGATATCCTGCTTTTGACCAGAAACGTTAACAATAGCATAAGCGGTAGAATAACAATATATTGTATGTTATACTGGGGGGGACCCAAAAGAGCCAGAGTTATCTTTTGGAGGGCGGACCCCTTGCAGTATACTTGGAATTTGTTCCTCCGGGTCACATGGTCAACTAGAGTTTTTATCTGGAAGTTTTGAGAAGGTTGTACATCACAGTTTGCAGAAGAACCATCCCAAGTTGTGGGAAGCAGGTTTTTCCACCATGACAACACACCTACCCATACTGTGCTGAGTGTTCATCAGTGTTTGGCCAAAAACAGTATGACCCCTATGTCCCACCCGCCCTATTCACCTGATCTCACCCAGAGCGATTTTTTTGTTTCCCTGGATGAAAAAAGTCCTCGAGGTAAAACGTTTCACCAGTATGGAAGAGGCGAAACAAAAAACGGCAAAAGCACTAAGAGGCTTCAAAATTGATGAGTTCAAAACTGTGTTGAGCAGGGGAAAAGCATCTCAGTGGATGCACTGCATCAAACGGAGAGGACTTGGAAGGTGACTGAAGTCTAATATACATGTAAGAATGAAAACGTAATTTTTTACGAATACTGGTTTTGGGGTGTCCCCTTCGTATGTATTGTATAGTGTATCCTTACAGTAAAGTGAGCTAGAGAAGAGAAGATGCTATCACGACAGTCATAAGGAAGAGAAAACATTTACTAAGTGAAAGTGGATCGTCATAAGGGTCTTCATCCTCGTCACCGCACTGAGTAGACCAAGGCAGAAGAGGGCATGCTGTCTCGGGTGGCAGAGGTGGCAGAAAATCTGAGTGTGAGTGGAACCACGCAGTTCAAATCTTTACTGTCCAAGGGTCCCCTGTACTTGCATGAAGCTATACATTTTTTTTTTTGAGTTGGAGTTTCACTGTCACCCAGGCTGGAGTGCAGTGGCACTCTGATGGCCACCCCAGCCTCGACTGCTGGGCTCAGGCGATCCTTCTGCTTCAGCCTTCCAAGTAACCAGAACTACAGGCACGTACTACCACACCTGGCTAATTTTTTACTTATTGTAGAGATGAGGTCTCGCCAAGTTGCCTGGGCTGGTCTCGAACCCGCGGGCTCAGGCAATCCACTCGCCTCGGCCTCCCAAAGTGCTGGGATTAGAGGCTGAGCCACCGAGCTGGGCCAAAGCCATACGTTTGGTAAAGAACTTAGCCCATTATAGGAACAGCAATCAAAGAACAGCAGTGGATCCTGGCACCAAGAATATCAAGTGTCAACAGACTGTTATGTGGAGAAGGTAGGACACATGAGTGAACAGGCTGTGATCCTAAGTTTTTAATGTGTCGGGGGAAAAGGCTAGGACATAAGCCAGCATGTATTAAGCACTTACTTACTCATTTAAACAGATAATTGAGCACTTCCATTTATCCTCTTAATACTCCGATGCTGCGCTAGCAAGACTGATGGCAGGTAGAAAGTCATGTTTCTGGAGCACAGTTGGGCACCCTCAATTCCTTGTATCATTTTTTAAAAATTCAATTAAGAGAAAATTCCTTGCAGTAGTTAATAGGCTATAAATGAAACCTAATCTTAGATTCCAGTTTTGTATTGTCTCAACAAAAAATTAATATCTGGCCGGGTGTAGTGGCTCAGCCTGTAATCCCAGTGCTTTGGGAGGCAGAAGCAAGAGGATTGCCTGAGCCCGGGGGTTCGAGACCAGCCTGGGCAACTTGGTGAGACCTCGACTCTACAATAAATCACAAAAATTAACCAGGCGTGGGGCCGTGCATCTGTAGTTCCAGCTACTTACTTGGAAGACTGAGGTGGAAGGATCGCCAGAGTCCAGCAGGTCGAGGCTGTGGTGGCCGTGAGTGTGCCACTGCACTGCAGCCTGGGTGACAGAGTAAGAATCCAACCCAAAAAGAAAAAATATCTTCAGTTTTAAATTTGTGTTTGCAAAATAAACTTGATTCTTGGGGATACCGTTGTTGTCGTCTCTGTTGACACTCACAGACTGCCTGTTCTTTTCTCTCTTGGCTGAGTTTTCATGCCAGCCCAACGTCCAAAACAAAACCGATATGGCACCGGTCACGAGTAACACTCTTCTCGCCTCTCTCTCCATCCAGGTTACCCCCTCGCTCTATTTTATCGGCATTACCTTTTCTACAAGGACAGCTACCTCATCCACCTCTTCCACACCTTTACGGGCCTCTCAATTGCTTATTTTAACTTTGGTGAGTAGTGGAGTTAGCAGGGACACTGTTAGAGGGGACCCAGAAAGGAGCAGACTTGAGCAAGGTTTTCTTTCCTGAGCGAACGTGCTGGACAGGGAAGCTGCGGTGCCCCTGCTGGGGGAGAGGGCGCCGTGGACAGAAACACACTTGACTTTTCCTTGTTTCCTTTGATGTTTGTTCCTCTGTCAGATAAAGGCATTTTGAAGGTTGCCAGAACCCGTCTTCAGAAGCCTCAGTTCCTCTCTGCTGTGGCTGTAACTGAATGACCAACAAAGCCAGTCCCATTCAGGATCAGTCTTCGGTTCAAACGTTCTGAGATACAATAGCAAGCAGGTTGAGTGGTGCGTGCCTGGAGTCCCAGCTCCTCGGGAGGCTGAGGCAGGAGGATCTCTGAGCCCAGGAACTCGAGACTGCAGTAAGCTCTAATCACGCTACTTCACTCCAGCCTGGGCAACAGAGCAAGACCCTGTCTCTAAATACATTTTTTATTTTTAAAGAAATACAATTACAGGGTACCTGCATAATCAACATTTGTATTCCAAACCCTGAGCTGTACCCCACATCTTTATAATAACAAAAAACAAAGAAATACAATTACACCCCTAATAATTCCTTGTATGTATACAATTAATTTTCAGCCTTTTCTCCAGGTTATTCTGAAAATAACCTCTTCAGGCTATTCTGGAAAGAGATCCTAATATGAAAGTTTTTTTCTTTCCTTTTTTGTTTCTGTTTTTTTTTTTTTTGAGTTGGAATCTCACTCTGTCGCCCAGAGGCTGGCCACTGCAGCCTCGACCTCCTGGGCTCCAGTGATCCTTCCACCTCAGCCTTCGGAGTAGCTGGAACTACAGGCCTGCGCTACCACGCCCGGCTAATTTTTTGATTTATTGTAGAAATGAGGTCTCGCCAAGTTGCCCAGGCGGGTCTCGAACCCGCGGGCTCAGGCAATCCACTCACTTCAGCCTCCCAAAGGCGCGGGATTACAGGAGCCACCGAGCCCGGCTTTGTTTTTGTTTTTGAGTTGGGGTCTCTTTCACCCAGACTGGAGTGCATTGGCACAATCCTGGCCTCCCACAGCCTCATCCTTCTGGGCTCAAGCAATCCTTTCACCTCAGCCTCTCCAGTAGCTGGGACTACAGGCACGCACCACACCCAGCTAATTTTCTTACGTTTTGTACAGACAAGGTCTCACTGTGTTGCCAAGGCTGGTCTCTGACTCCCAGGCTCAAGCAGGCCTCCCACCTCCACCTCCACCTCCCAAAGTGCTTGGATTACAGGCACGAACCCAGCGCCTGGCCAAGCGCTTTTTCTCTGTGTGTGTCTGTTGTGGTGGGAATTCTCAGAAGAGGGGGTGAGGAGCCAGGCTGCATCCTTCCCTCCTCCCGCGTGCAGGAAACCAGCTCTGCCACTCTCTGCTCTGCGTTGTGCTGCAGTTCCTCATCCTCCGGCTCCTGGGCCGCACAGTCACTGCCGTCCTCGTGACCTTTGGCCTCCAGATGGTGAGCGACTCGCCCCAGCTGCTCAGCTTACAGCCGAGGCACTGGAGGGCCAGAGGGTGGGGCCTGTGGCTGGGAAGAAGCAGTGTGCTGGGAGGCTGCGTTCCTGACCCCTCCCTCCCGCGCAGTGCGGGACTTCAGGTTGGCCACCGGCCCTGGGGCTTTCAGCCACTGACTGGGGGCCACTCCATCGTCTCCGGGAAGGCTGAAGCCCACCCTTGCCAAGGTCCATGCCGTCGGCTCTCCGTTCTCCCCGGGGAAGCCCTCCGAGGCAAGGCAGAACACCAGTGTGGGCCGGGCTGGAGCGCCAGGCGTCCGCGCTGCCGTCTCAGCCCGCGTTTTGCCAGGAAGCCCTGGGCTCTCCCTGTCGTGGGTCTAGTGCATCCCCTGGAGAAATTCCTTAAACCTTGACTGACGGGACCAGGAGAAGGAGAAGCGAAGGACACGGTGGGCTTCAGAGCAGGGAGGAAACAAACAGCCCTAGTGATGGTCGAATAAACACCTCTCTTCTCCCAGGCCTACCTTCTCGCTGGCTACTACTACACAGCCACTGGCAACTATGATATCAAGTGGACAATGCCACATTGTGTCCTGACGCTGAAGCTGATTGGTGAGTGGGGGTCACGTCTTCCTCTTTCACGTCTGGCCCCGCCCCAGCAAGAGCCGAATCGTGCCCCGGCACACTCCTGGCCACACACAGTCTGCAGGCCGCAGTCGGTGTCCCTCCCTCCGCTCTACCCGCCCTTCTCTCTCTGCTCAGGTTTGGCCATGGACTACTTTGACGGAGGGAAAGATCCGGTAAGTTCCCTTTCCTGTGCAGAGAGGGAAGGCAAAGGCTGTTGCCACCCAAAGACTGGATCCAGACACCGGGCAGAGCTCCTCCTCCTCCCCAGCCTGTGCGCTGTCGCAGACAGCATCGGGCACAGATCGGCCAAGCTCCCCTGCCTGGGTCCTGCACTCGCCCAGAGTCCAAAGATCAGTACCAGCCAGGCGTTGGCCAGAGCAGCCACACCCAACTGTGATCAAGCTACCCCACCACACACACACTCGTTGCCACAAGAAGCAACGGCTTTTCGTCCCCCAGGAGAAGACTGTTTGAAGAACCCCAGTTGGTCGGGTACAAGGGTGGGACCTCCGACTGGCTTCCGGGGGCGAGTTCAAGGCTGTCCTGAGCCACTCGTTTTCTTCTCGGCATAGAGTTCCTTGACCTCTGAGCAGCAGAAGTATGCCATACGGGGTGTCCCTTCCCTGCTGGAAGTAGCTGGTTTCTCCTACTTCTATGGGGCCTTCCTGGTGGGACCCCAGTTCTCAATGAACCACTACATGATGCTGGTGCGGGGACAGCTGACTGACGCACCAGGAAGGATACCCAACAGGTAAGGGCTCTTGCTCCGGGCCCCGCAGTGACTCGAAGGCCCGCCCTAGCTGCACTCTCCAGCATGGCCCCGTAGAGACCTTGCCCCACAGGCCCTGGACTGCTTAGCGGGCCCTGGGCCTGCTCACTGCTGGCATTGGCGTTCTCAGCCTGGGCTGCTTCCAGCTGGCCATTCAGACCTGTGGCACAAACAGAAAAATCCACTTTGGGCCACAGGATTTTGCCGGAACCAGTCACGTCCCTGCCTTTGAAGCACATTTTTCTCATTAAAAGAAAAAAAATACACATATATATATTTTTCCTTTCCTTCACTAAGAACTTGCCCAGCCTTTGTTTCAACATCAATTCAAGCGAGATAGGAAGGGGCAGATTCATCCATTGGGCATCGGGTTTTCAGTCGCAGTGGAGGGTGAGAACCCTGGTGAAACACTGAGATCGGCAGCATACCCTAGGGCCAAACGCCACGAAGCCCACCCACACTGCTTCCTGCCACCCTGGCCTTCCCATCCGTGTCCCTGGAACCGTGTAGGCCAGGCAGCAGGGGGCCTCGCCCGCTCAGGTGGACCACACCCTGAGCCACCCTCCCCGAAACTCCAGGTCACGGGGGCAGAGCTGCTCCCGTGACCCTGCTGCCCATTTCAGCGCCGCCCCTGCCGTCAAGCGCCTGAGCCTGGGCCTCGTCTACCTGGTGGGCTACACGCTGCTCAGCCCGCACATCACGGAAGACTACCTCCTCACCGAGGACTACGAAGTGAGTGCTAGGAAGCAGCGGCGCGAGGGCGCAGGAGTGGACAGCAGGGTCCGCCATCGCCCGACACCACTGGTGTCGCCCCTGGCCTGCGAGTTGGTGTCCCTGCCGGCCAGCCTGGCCCGGTCATCAGCAGCACTGAACGAGCTCCGTAGGCACTGGGCTGTGGCCCTTGCCCTCCCTGACAGCGACTCTGGGCTTGCTTACGACATCCTGGGGACCCCTGGGGCACAGCCGCCTCTGAGCCTCCACCCAGTTCTCTCCTGACTGGTAGATCTGGGGGCTTCTAGGGAATTCAGGGACCAGGGGAGGGGGTGTGCTGGCTTTGCTCCTGCCTGCTGAGAGGCTGACAACCATTCCGTAACCATGCTGGCAGTTTTGACACTGAGCATGGTTGTTCAGTGCCTCTGTACTGGCGTTCCAAGTGCTCAGTACCTTGTGAACAAAGGCAAACAGTAGACGAGTCCAGGGCTGCCCTTGAGACTCCAAGGAAAAGGTGAGTGGGTGTTCCCCAGGCCCCACTCACTCCTCTCAGCCCGTATGAAGGCAGTCAGGCCGGACGTCAGGGCCCTCTGGCAGCAGGACAGACAGGCGGGCAGTAGCCGCTGCGAGTGAGGGGAGGAGGCTGGGGGAGGGAACCGCCCCGTTGCCGCCGCCGCCCCTGACGCCTGTGCTCTCTCCCTCAAGAACCGCCCTTTCTGGTTCCGCTGCATGTACATGCTGATCTGGGGCAAGTTTGTGCTGTACAAGTACGTCACCTGTTGGCTGGTCACAGTAAGTGGACAAGTGGGACGAGGGCCTCCCAGGCAAGCCGCGGGTGGGAGAGGAGGTGAGACCTAACCAGGCCATCCCCCCAGGAAGGCGTGTGCATCCTCACGGGGCTGGGCTTCAACGACTTCACAGAAGCGGGCAAGGCCAAGTGGGACGCCTGCGCCAACATGAAGGTGTGGCTCTTCGAGACCACCCCCCGCTTCACTGGCACCATCGCCTCGTTCAACATCAACACTAACGCCTGGGTGGCCCGGTGAGCTGTGGGCTGCACCTGGCTCCTGCCTTCCCGGGCTGGAGGGCCGGGGTGGGTCGTGTCACCTTCGCCCCCTTCCCACTTGGGCAGGGTCTCCAGCCACTCTTGTGTACACTCTTGTCCCTCAGAAACCATTCTGTCACGTTCAGCAGACAAAAGCAAGATGGAAAAGGGCCTTGGCCAGCCTGGGCTGCATAGGGAGACCCTGTCTGCAGAAAATTTATCAAAATTAACCTGGCGTGGTTGCATGCCTATAGTTCCAGCTGTGTGGGAAGCTGAGGTGGGAGGTCACTTGAGACCAGGAGTTCGAGGCTGCAGTGAGCTGTGACTGCAGCACTGCACTCCAGCCTGGGCAATAGAGCAAGACCCTGTTTCTAAGTAATTAAGAAAAATAGCTCAAGACCTGGGTGTGTTAACCCCAGCTCTGCCGCCAGTTTTATATCCTCCATTGACATTTGTACACGTCTTTGTTGACTCTTCCGACCCCACCACTGGAGCATGGGCAGAGACCAGTCTGTCTGGTTCACCCCAGCCTCAGCAGCAGGCATATAACAGGCACCTGGTCGTTACCTGCTGACTCAAACGGCCTGCTCATGGTTGCCAGCGATGCCGCAGGTCTGCTTGCTGTCTCTAGACAAACCCCAGCTGCCTTCCTTCTCCACAGCTCGTCAGCACGGCCTCCCGTGGCCCGTCTGCTGGCGGGGGGGGGGGAGGTGGAGAAGCAGCAACCAAACCCCTCCTGGGACGCAAGGACCGAGAGGTGGGGAGCGCGATGCAGGGGGGGCTGGTCGGTTGGAGGCTCATCCCTCCCACCCCCCTCCCCAGTTACTTCTTCAAACGACTCAAGTTCCTTGGAAACAAAGAGCTCTCCCAGGGCCTCTCGCTGCTGTTCCTGGCCCTCTGGCATGGCCTGCACTCGGGATACCTGGTCTGCTTCCAGATGGAATTCCTCATCGTCGTGGTGGAGAGACAGGTGGGCCGCGAGGGTCAGGGCGAGAGGGGAACGCGAGGGGCGCGATGCTCACAACTTGCCCTCCCTCCCCAGGCCGCCAGGCTGATTCGGGAGAGCCCCACCCTGAGCAACCTGGCCTCCGTGACTGTCCTGCAGCCCGTCTACTACTTGGTGCAACAGACCATCCACTGGCTCTTCATGGGTTACTCGATGACTGCCTTCTGCCTCTTCACGTGGGACAAGTGGCTGCAGGTAAGGGAAGGCCTGCCAGTGAGGCTGGGCGAGAATCGCTGACCCTGGCTAGCAAGGGAAAGCTTGTCCCTGCATCTGCCTCAGTGGCGTCTCTGCCCCACAGGTGTACAGGTCCATCTATTTTCTTGGCCACGTCTTCTTCTTGAGTCTACTACTCATATTGCCTTACGTTCACAAAGCAATGGTGCCAAGGAAAGAGAAGCTAAAGAAGATGGAATAATCTGTCTCCTGGGTAAGCAAATGGCCTCCGGTAAGCTAAAACAGCCAGGCTACAGGACAGAGCCGCTGACTGGAAGAAAAGGCAGTGCTGGAAATGCGGGTGCATCTCCAGGCAGCCTGGCTGCTGGGAAGACTGTGAGCACGGACTCTTGTGACTCACTCAGCCCGCTCGGAAGACACAGGGTGGCTGCAGGTGGGGGCTGGGGCCCCGCTCAGCCCTCCAGCCAGACGTCTTGCCTTGCAGGCGGCCTGCAGCAGGACTGGCGCCGAAACATGTCTCCCTCTCACAGCGCTCCCTCGCCCCTGAGCAGAGAACAGAAAGCCAG